TGTATTGCTCCTAATATAAAGTAAAGTTTGATTTTTTTAAAGTATTTTTTTAATTAAACGTTGGTCCACTTGAGCTGGCAAAAAATCAGAACACAGCTTACAGACAAAGCCTTACTTTGTTCCTGAATAATACAAAACAACCTCATGGTCAAGATACCTTATAGTTTTATAAACAGAATATTATTTGCTCCTATTTACTAGGACTAAATAATTTCTGAGAATTGCTACATAACAAGACCTCTACACAGAAGCATTTATTCCTGCCTAATAGAAATAGCTGCATATGGAGTGTGATTAATCTAACATGAAAGTAGACATTTAAAAGACATCAACTGCCCTAGTCACTAAAATGATGTCTTTCTCTCTTTTCTGTAAAGGAAGTGTGCATGACTGAAGGAGGGGAGGTGAATTGCATGCCTCAAAAATAATTTACAGTCCTGCTTTCCACAAGTTTTTTAAATTGTCTCTTGCTGAATATGTAGAGAAAGTATAGATGTGCACTGAAAATATTCTTAAATGTCTTACAATTAGAAAACATTTTTAAAGTTTTAATTTTCATTACTGCTGCTTACCTGATTATAAGGTGGTATTTGAAATGGACAGTGATTCCTTTCTCTTTATGAGACAACATTTATCATTTAATTAGGAATGCACCATAATAATTCATGGATGTTTCTTTCAAAGAGATGGAGTTATCTATTTGGAAAACAATGGAACAGTATTGGAAAACTATGTCTAGTGCATGTTAGCTCCTCAAATCTTGGTAATTGGGAAAGTCTTTACTTTCCTTTCATTGACTGCTTTATCTTTCCCATAGGTATCGAATCATTTCTCATGTATTCTGTTCATGAAGGAATAAGAGGAATTCCTCTTGATCCAAATGATAAAATGGATGCTTTAATGCCTGTATCTGGGACTTCATTTGCTGTGGGCATAGACTTCCATGCAGGTAAATATTATGTGCAATTTGTTGTATGGATGGTAAAAATTGTATATTGTTCTCATGAATTAAATAACCCTTTGTTTTCAAACCTTCCAAGTAATTGAAGGAATTAGAAGTTGATTATGTTACAGTGTTAACCAAAGAGATTTTATATTTTGCACTAAATACAAAATCATGTATTATGCATATGTAGCTTGTTCTGGCAGCACTAGCTGCTGTTTTTCAGTGGAGTCATCATCGAGAACTCGAGTGGGAGACTGGTGGGTTTGCAGAAAGTGATCATCAGTCTGTAGGAAAGCAGGTTTCATTAGTTCTTTTTTCACAGAGAAAAGCTTGTTCCTGTTATGACTCTTTTTCCTTGGAATTTTCTTTGTCCTATGTGTTGTACCCAGCTTTGACAGCTGAGTTGGAATAGTTTCCTTCCTGTCCAGCACAACTCAGCAACTTCCTTGCAGGGTACAAGCCAACTCTGTTTCTTCATTCTAGAAGCAGGTGCTCTGACAGCCTGAGGAACAGGCATTTCTGCCATTCCACCCACATGAGGATTTTATTGGGGATTTTATATCTTGTACTTTTTTGGGCTGGGATTTTCTTTTAGCATAGTCTGCTTATAGGATATGCTATCCTACTTTAAAGAGTTTTATTTGGGCTTCACTAATCAAGATCAAATTAATACTTTGAAAGAACAGGGGTTTTGGCTTTTGGGAAAAATGAGATTTGAGGAAGGATGAAGTTGAGTGAAGTTCTCCAACCTGCCTGATGATCAGTTACAGCACAGGGAACATGAACACACTTGACAGTGACAAATGCATTGGAAAACATGGATGTAAATAATGTGCAGCAGTGAAATCACAAGGGGATAGTGTGTTAAAAGAGGCTACAATACAACTTTCAACTGCATTTCAGCTTGAAACCCAGTTGTTTTTCTCATTTTGATATATTACCTTGAATTTTGTAAATTCATTCCTAAAACCTCAAATATGGTTCAGAAGGCAAGTGGAGGTACTTTCAGATTTCATCTTGAGGTTGGGTTTTTTTTTTTCCACATAGTGTTTCTTCATTTCTTTCTTACTCAGGAAGCATTCCCAAATTTTGATTTAATCTCAGTAATGTTTAGATATGCAAAGTGGCTAAAATAGATTAACATATGCAAGTAGTATAACATATCGTAATTAAAAGGTATATGGCAACGTTTTTTGCAGACATGAATGAGCAAGAAGATACATGTACCTTTTTTCTCCCTGTGTTTTGATACTTCTAAATTCCAATTAAAGAACTAAGAGTAGTTTTAACCTTTGGACTTTTTTAGAGGCTATTGAGGAGTAAGGTTACCAGTGTTTTTTAAGACACTGGTTTATAAAATTGAGTGTGATCCTAGTCACCTTTCATTTCTGTGTTGTTAAAGATCATGGCACTGATTCTTCCCTGCTGCTGAAGCCTTTTTCACAGTATGTCAGGCAAATGCTCGTTGTTTCTTCCTGTTGATGTTGTTCCAGGAAGCTCAACATAGAAACATAAAAATACTTCACTAATAGATGTGCAGTTGTTGAAATAATTATTTCACATACTGGGAGGGTACTCCGTACTTCAAAACTTAGTCTGGTTGGAGGAGAAATATTGCTGAAATATTACTGAATATTCAGCAATATTCAGCAATATTCAAACAATAGTTTGTATGTTGAATTTTGGGTTACACAATTTTATTGGCAAAATACCAATGCATTAAATGAAATTAACTTTCAGTGTTTGCTGAAAAGCATTAATTAAGAAAACAACACTACAATGTTGTGCTATATTCGTTAAGATTTAGTCATGGAAGTGAAACCACAGAGATCTCTGTGTTCTTATAATAGTTTCAAAGCTGTTGTGTGAATCCTTGCTCACATGGCTGACTTCAATAGTCATGGTCTGAATACAAAGGGGTTTATTTTTATGGAGATGAATTAAACTGGAATAAGAAATACATAAAATTCACTTGTAGGTGTCTTATCTAGTTGATAAACATAATAGTTTTGGGAGGTTCTTTTATTAACTATGTGTTTTCAGATAAGACGTTGTAATTCTGTATCTTGTATTGCACTGCAGGGAACTTTGCATACATTTGTATGCAACTGTAGATCTGTATCTTACTGTTGAATGTATATGCAGCTGGTATTAGAATTGTAATTTTCATACTCACTTGAAATAAGCAGCAAAATACATGACTCCCATATTTGTTTGGGCTGCTTGAAGTCAGAATTTGTCATTTGTTTTATTGGTAGTGTGGCTAAAATTCTTGAGGATACCAATCTGGTTTGGTCTCAAATAAATCTAGTTATTTGAGTAAGTTTTGTTTTTCTCTTCTCTAACTCTGTCTCTATCTATCTATATCTGTATATATACATATTTACACATACATACACATATGTACATGGATGTATATATAGGGTTAGTAGACATAAAATATTTTATATTTATTTATTAGTAGATATAAAATATTTATGTGTTGATATAAGTAATACTTGTATAAATACACTCACACTCTGTTATGGAATTAAAAGCAGATATACAAAGTATAAAAAATAAAGAAGGAACACGTATTATTTGATATCTCTGGACAATGTTTTTCCCAGACAAAGTAGCTCACTCAGGAGGTCCCAAGCTGATGACTTTGAAAGCAGAATGTGGGTTGCAGCATATTTACATTGTGATCTCAGAGCCTTGTCAGTGGAAATAGAGACAATTGTGCTTGAGGGACCTTCTAACTTTGTTTGCCCCATCTCTTTATTGAGGGTACTGTGTGCAACAGAGGGGAGTGCCTGTCTGTGCTTGGGCCACTCCGAATTCTTAGTCCTTCTGATGAGTTTAAATGGCCATAGTGGTCTCTCTCTTCTACCTTATGGACAACCATTGCAGCAGAATGGCAGGGAAGACACACGAGATGCCCTGAAACACACACACACACACAAAAAAAAATACTAGTGAAAGCTTTCCAGGACATTTAAAATAAAAGCTGACTTGTAGATCAAATATTTTATTCTTTTAACAGTTTATCACTCTGAAATATCACTTTATTTTCCTAGTCATTTAACCTGTATGATTACTGAAGGGGAAAACTGTATAGGCAGATTTACACTGTAGTTTTTCAGACCCCTAAATATTTTGGAATGGTGATTAATTAATAGAGTACTATGGGGTTTTTTAACATTTCTTCCATTAGGAAAAAAATAAATACAACATATTTATTGTGATTTTTAGCAGAGGTATTAGCTTTCATCTCTTTTCATGACCCTAATTGTGCTATAAGAGTAGTACTAAACAAACAGTAGAAAACCTGTAATTTTGACAGAATTTTTTAAAAAAATTTAAGAAAAGGAATGAGAAATTAAAGCTGATAGTTTTGATACCATTTTTCTGCTTACTCTGAATCATATTAATAAAGTTATAATTAGCAGTTTTCACAGTAACTGATGTCAATATTTGGTCTGAAGTACCTGAATTAATCTAAGAATCATTACCCTGTATTTTATAGGAAATGATACAATCTATTGGACAGACATGGGTTTCAACAAAATTAGCAGATCTAAGCGAGACCAAACATGGAAAGAAGACATTGTTACAAATGGTTTGGGAAGAGTTGAAGGCATTGCAGTGGACTGGATAGCAGGTAGGTCTGAACCTGCTTCAGGACATGTCATTATTTCTGACAATATGCCCTTGCATCTTCAGCTCAAGACTAATTAAATTGGTTTTGCTTTTAGTTCTGATTTCTAGTATTGCACATGTCTGGATGTTATTTATGTATCTTGGATGCCGCTTCTTAGATGGACAGTTTCAGTGGTGACAACCACAAATACAAGTTTATACTCTACAATGGAAGGCTGAATAGGACTATAAATTACAAGTATAAGATACATGTAAATGAAAATACAGGAGTTAGTTTCTGGTCCTCAATTACGCTTTTCTTATAGTCTTTTCTTCCTGCAGTAACTTCCTTGTGCTCTTCCCAGGTAACATATATTGGACAGATCATGGCTTCAACTTAATTGAAGTTGCCAGGCTCAATGGCTCGTTCCGATATGTGATTATATCCCAGGGCTTGGACCAGCCAAGATCCATCGCAGTACACCCAGAAAAAGGGTAACATGACCATGGCTACTTGCATCTCCTTTAAAGTTTGCATGCCAGCACCAAACCTTTTAGACAAGCAAATGGAGTCCTTTGATCTGATAGATAAATGTTTATTAAAACCCGAAGGATTATATTGGAAACTGTTGTACTGTAAATAAGCACAGGTGGAAGGAAGTGTTGCTCTTGACACACAAAACCTTTTTTTGTTGCTCTCTGTATTCATGACATACTGCAATTTCTTTGCACAATAGTTTTGGTTTTGCAAGGAAATCATTTCACCTGAAGTCTGGATGCTACTTGGAAGCATACTTAAATCTGTTCTGAAGTTTTCAGGAAATCCAAGGAAACCGCATGAGCTTATGAAGGACCTCAGTGTCATGATGAAATAGCGGAACAGTGTAATCCTTGGTATCTCTAAACTCCAGTATCATGTAACATCCCATTATAGCAACAGAGAGATTGCCCAGGATAGTTGAAAGTCATGTGAGATGAAGCATGTGGGTAGGAGAGTAAGAACTGGCAAAACTGAACTACTTGGCAAAAACTCATCCAACTGATTGTTGAGGGCAAGGACTGCACTGCAGCATTGACAGAAATAGGGAATGTACTGTTCCCTTCCAACTCCAAAACTGCCAAAACTTCCTGTCCCTGTAATTGTTAAAGGCCGGGCTGGATGGGGGGACTGAATAACCTGGTCTAGTGGAAGGTGTCCCTGCCCATGGCAGGGGGGGTTGTTTATAATACTTCAGGAGGAGAAAAGGACCACAGATTAATAACTGTTTTACAAATCTGGTGTATCGTCTGTGAAAAAGGGTAAGCTTCATCTATTTTATAATATTGTTCCACAAAACGATAACTAGAGATATCTCCAGTCAAAGTTTCTTCAGGAGAAGGATAGCAATGTTTTCTAGGAAATCTTCCCCTTTCTGTGGGAAGATTAAGGCCTTTTTACTCTTTGCGTTATTGTCATGTCTCTTTCCCTTTATGAGGCAAAACTTTCAAAGGTATTCTTCCCTCCCCTTGCCCTGACTTCACATTCTGCATTTCTCTTGAAGCTAGAGTTGACAGCTATAAGAATAGAAAGGAAAATAGCAGTTATTAAATCTCATTGAATCTGCCAGTTATACCAAGATATGAAGCAGGCAGCGTTCAGCTGGTTGGTGACATTATTTATTGTCACTGAGAAAGAAGTGAAGAAGGTGTAGCCCTACAAAAGGGTGGTTTTGTCCCTCATCAGGTTTATTTATTCATATAACATGCACATGCCTGACTTTTTCCTAATTTAATAATAGTTTTCTGATCAAGCTCAGAATTGAGATTGAAATAGGAAATTAAGCTCATAGTGGAAACTTTTAAACTGCCTCCTTTAACAAACATTTAGGGAATTTAATTTGTGTTTAGGGCTTGAGGTTGGGGGTGGGAGGAGCTTAAACTGATTGCATTTTTTCCAAAGAATAATTTTCGAAGATTCTATTCCAGCATCAAATTTCCACCCCTTGCATCTCCATGTCAGCTGTGTAATTTATATGAGGGACAGTTCTGAAATAGAGTCATAGTTATTCTATAATCACAGTATATACATCAATTATATCCATAGCATATTGCTGCCTACATAGGTCTATGAAACAAGTATTTTGGTTGGTACTTCCCAGAACTTTCCGGAAGATGTGGAAAGTTTTTCAATACTAGTTAATGGTTTGTGTAAGTCGAAATATTAATATACTTATAATCATTAATGCTCTAAGGGAGTAATTAATAACTTACCTTATATTTTTGGCAGCTATTCAGGATTTTCTTTGGAGGATTTTAGATTTAACCCACTAATTATGGGGTATCATTTTTTTTCCTCCTTAGAGTAACTATTTTAAGGAAAGAGTAAGGAAAGTTTAATTCAAGTATGTTGAATGTCTGCCTTTCTGTATTCAGCATTTATTTCGTGTCCATGTGTTTAGAAAGTTCCTCTAATTAGATGCTGAAATCAAGTTCAATTCTATTTACTAATGTAGTTAAAGTTATATTAAACTTAAGCAGCAATTGTTGATATCTAGCTAGTCTGGATATCTACTGTCTATTTTACCATTTCTCAAACATATTTTTAATTTAGCTAAAGTTGCAGTTCAATTTCCTAAAGTAGTATAAGTTTTGTAGTAAGTATAAATATTATTGTTTGTTCTGTCAAGAAGTATGAGAACAGATTCATTTTTCTTAGAGCCAGAAAGCCCTACAGTGAGAGTTAAAGTAAGATGAACAATGTTTTGGAAGCTAAATATGATAAGAAAATTTTGGGATCCATATTTATTTCTCCCTTATCACATTTTTATTCCTGATTATTTCACATATCTACAGTCATCCAGTCAAATACAGCTACTTAACAAGAGATTGGCATAATGATGACACCAGACACAGGGAGAGAACTGTTTAGTAGTGTCCAGAAGATTTTTGTAATCTTTAAAAACCAAGTAATGCATACACAGAGGAAAGCAATGGAGAATGGTTTTATATGTTCTGTTCACTTTGTTTACAGCATATTACTAAACAAAGTTTTAGTGGGTTCTGTGAATATTTGCTATGAAAATCCTTCTCTTTATGCAATTAATATTATGCAAGGCCTCAATTATCTTAGAAAGAGATTCCTTCCTCAAAAAACTGTTATTTTTGTGTGTTTATAATATATTTTAACACAGATATACGTACATGTGTATTTGTAGACACATAGATATTCCAGTAAAGCTATTCTATAGGTTACTGTTCAGTAAAGAAAGTGTTCTGTGTAGATTAACGGGCCTCATTTTGTTATACCTGAGTGAGAAGTAGGGGGTCAAAGCAGAACTTTGAACCAGCACCCTATCCCAAATTGGTGATGTTAGTGTACCAGTAAGTGTATGGAAACACAAAATTGTGTAAGCAAGATGAAAGTTCTCCCCATGAGCATTTGGCAGAATTTGAAAAATATTTTCTTCTCAATAAAGTCCCTTTGCTCTGCCATTTCCCACAGTGCTGCTCACTGCTTCATATTTAAAACATTTTAAAGTTAAACATACATCTCTTGTGTTATCACATTTGTTAGTGATAATTAAATGCAAGAGCTTCTGTTCCAGTATTTTATTTTTTTTTTTACTTTGCCTTTATTTTTCCAAGCACACAGCTAAATTCTTTAAGGAATAGAATTTCATATTGATTGATCGAGTGGTTTTAAGAATTTCTTCATATACATCATTTCCAAAAAACCCTAAATATTCTATTAAACAAGTATTATGATACATTTAATTTCTTAATATTATTTAGAGACATGAGCCTTATCATGTTATTTAAGTACTTACCATGTTTCTAAGTACCCATTTAATGGTGATAGTGTATTTACCTTGCAACTGAAGTACGGTATTACATATTTGCAGTTCCTGTTTTGATGCTAAATTTTAACTGGTGATTTCTGCAACGTTTTAGGTATTTGTTTTGGACAGAGTGGGGACAGACTCCTTGCATAGGCAGGGCACGCTTAGATGGGTCTGAGAAGGTTGTCCTTGTGAGCCTGGGGATTGCGTGGCCTAACGGGATTTCCATCGATTACGAGGTCAGTTCCTCTCTCTTCCAGTGAGTGTTAAAATGTACAGTATTTGTTACATTTCATTAAAACCAGCTGGTGTTCCACCTTGATGTAATCTAAATAACTCTTAATTAAGTACTTGGACAAGACTGTTGATGTTTCCTTTAAAATTAATCTTCAGGAAAATAAATTATATTGGTGTGATGCTCGTACCGACAAGATAGAAAGAATTGACCTTGAGAGTGGAGGGAATCGGGAGATTGTGCTGTCAGGGAACAATGTGGATATGTTTTCAGTTGCGGTGTTTGGAGCTTACATCTACTGGTCTGACAGGTAATTTATTTTTCATAAGTATTTTAAGTCTCAAAATGTTATTTTGGTGCCAGGTGCTTCACCTTTGTAGGATTAACCATTCCTTAGCAAGGTCACAGAACAGATCCCAGAAACCTGTGAAATTTCCAAAGAAAGGGCTGTTGTGATGCTGAAAGCTCAAGCTCATGAGCATCAGAGATGAAAACAGGTTTCTACACCTCCTGTTAGGTGAACTCTCCACTGCTCTTCAGTCATTTGTTCGGTGTGAATTAGTTGAGGATTGTTGATGAGACATCTTCAACTTTTTTGGCAGAGCACATGCAAATGGCTCTATTAGAAGAGGCCACAAGAATGAGGCCACGGATGCTGTGACCATGAGGACTGGCCTTGGAATAAACCTGAAGGAAGTGAAAGTCTTTAATAGAGCACGAGAGAAAGGTTGGCTGTTCTTAAGGATGCTATTAATTGTTTTAATATCACCTGCTACTTTTTATGTATATTGAAGCATACTAAAGAAAAAAGTAATCAATGATTTTATCTCCACTTTTTCCCCTTGAAGTGTTTTTTTAACTAAAATTATTGTACTAAAGAAAACATAGAGTACAAATTCTACTAAAATTCTTCCGAGTGTTTTAAAGAGAAAATCTAAAACCAAAACACTTCCTACCATTCCAGGTTTGATGATTTTTGTTTTGTTTTTTTTTTAAATAGCAAAAGACAGTCTTGGAAATGACGGACCTTGAACTGCGCTTTACAGAGCAGTAATTTCAGGCAGTTTCAGATTTCTGTTGGAAAGCAAATCAAAATTTTTTCTTGCTAGAAATTCCCAGCCTCTCTGTCTCCAGTGTTTATTTGCTAAAATTTCTTGGGCTTAAGTCTTTTTTTTTTTTTTTTTTTTTGTTTCTGTAGGAAGAGACCTTGTAAATAATCAGATTTCCTTTATATTCAATTAGTTTAGCGAACTCAAGTGACAAAAGTTATTATATATTTTCTATGATTTATGATACCTATGGTTAAATTTTATTTTCCACTACCTCACTAAGAATCATCTTACTTTAAATGTCTTTTTACTTCTAAAATTCTGGTTTTGATGAGACCTTGAAAAACTTGTCTCATTGGGAAAAGGTGGTTAGATGATTATTTACTCAGAACAAACTGCTACCAGGCCATCCAGACAAAATTTTCTATAAATATATTTTAAAAAAGAGAGAAAAAGGGTTACTGCAATACAAAATAATTTTTTTAATACAAATGTATCTCTGATGTTGGTAGTGTTCAAAATTTGCTTTAATCACAGCATTATATACCCAAAGATTCTGTTTCTTTTACGTAAGTCTTTCCTAAATAATGGCATCAAATATGACATAGAAAATAAATGTACATTTTGAAAGAAAACAGATTTAACAATAAGAAAAACTTTATTTTTCTTTTATTTTTCTTTGAGAAAAATTAATTTGCAAACATATGCATAATAATTTTACTAAGAATTTCTGTATGTACTGGGCATCATATTTATGGATAAAAATAAAATACACACAAAAAGTCCCCATTTCTTTTAACTAGGCTAGAAATAGTTAATGTCTGCTTGCTTGGAAGGGCTTTATATTATAGAATATATTCTCTATATATTCTATATATAGAATTAGGAAAATAGAACAGTGGGATAATGTTGATTGATTTTTATTGATAGCTTTATAGACATGATCACTTGGATGGGAAAAACAGTTATTGAGGCTAAAAATCTACTGCTGTTAGTTTGAAAAACATAACTGAATGATTTTTAATACATTTTTCAAATTTTACTAGGGTACAAATGGTTAATGTCATTGGGAGGGAATGTCAGTGAGCCAGAAGGACAAAAGGGAAAAAAACAGGTGAAAAATATTTTTGGAATGTTTCTCTGTATCACACTATTACATATAGTTTTTAAGTTTATTGAAGTAGTAGTTAAGATTGTTTTAAAAAATGGGATAAGTGACCTTCCTGACCTTCTGTTACTAAAACACAAAGACACAAACAAACAGAAAAAGAGCCCAAACAAAAACCCCAACCACCTGTGCTGATTGTGATTAATGCTTTTTTTTCAAACACCTGTTTTACCCTTTCTGATAAGCCAGTCCTGAAGTGCTACTTGAAAAGTGATTCCTATCCCTCAGTGCTATTTTACATGTGTGCAAGGACATGCCTTAATTACACTGGTTCCAGAACTGGCCATTTTTAAAGATATTTACAGCTGGTGAACAGTGGAAGCATTGATGTTTTCAGAGAGACTTCAGAAACTTGAGGATCTTGTCGATATATTTTCCTTTCTCTTCTCAACCTTTCATCCTTCCAAACAGATATTAACCTTTCTAGCCTAATAAAACTTTTAAAGAATCTTTAAAGCAAACTGAATGAGAAAATGTATACAGCTAAATCTCCATGTGTTTTTACATGACTCCAGAGGACTATGTCTCATGGAATTTTGCATAGGAACACAAAATTCAATCTTTGTGGTTTTAAGAGCAAACTAGCTCTCATTCCCCATTATTGTTTCTTAAAAGTATTTTCAGGTTGATATGTAGCAGTTAAAAAATACAATCAACAGTACTTTCAGACACTACGTATTCCCCAACAATTATTATGGTTTTGTACCTGAAAAGAGTCTATTTAAAATGTTTTATTCTCCTTCATTATGTGGAAAACTTTCAGAAATGGGAAAATGACTCTACCGAAAGAGCTGAGTTGTTACATGGAAAGTGCTGTCAGAAACAGAAACTAAATTATCTGAACTAACTATAAGAGTAATTCATATCTAGTAAAGAAAAAGAAACAGAAAGCAAAAGACAAAGAAAAATAGCTCCTAATTATTGACTATTACTGTAATTTTAAATATTGCTTGCAACAAGTGTAGTTACTAATTTGACAATGATTTCTTAATGGTGTGCAATTGTCAGGGAGTAGGTTTTTAAAGTCAGGTTTTAAAGGAAATTAGAACAAAATGTTAGGAAATTTCTTCATCAGAAACAGAGAACTGGATTGACACAGTTTTGTACCTGTCAATACATATTATTCATTTTGATAGAAACTGTCTAAAAGCAGTACTGCATTCTGATGGTACCTAAATTTGACTTTCTACCAGTAACAGGTGTTTTAAAAAAAATTTTGAAAATCTTTCAAAGCACTTGAAACAGTTTCTAAGTCTTCAACTGGAAGAAGACTTAGGATTATTATGGAGGAATAACCCATTTTATCTTTTTTCTCTTAATAAAATATGTACTGTTGTGATTTGAAAAGGACATTAATTATATTTGCTCATTAATTGTATTCTCTAAAATTATTTTCAGGTTGTGGTTAAAGTCACATTCTTTACTGTGTTAGGCTTTGGTTTACTTACAAACGATTCGTAAGGGAGGAATTCTTAAGAGTGCATATGATTTCATTTTTATTTAAGTTAGCTAATTAAATTTATATTTATAAAAGGTAGATTTTATTTTTTTTCTTTTACAGGCACCAATGTGTGTGCCAAGAATAACGGTGGGTGTCATCAACTTTGCCTTTATCGTGGAAACGCATGGAGGACGTGTGCTTGTGCACATGGATATCTTGCAGAAGATGGAATTAGTTGCCTGAGACATGAAGGCTACCTGTTGTACTCAGGGAGGACCATATTAAAAAGCATTCACCTTTCTGATGAAACCAACTTGAATTCACCAATAAGGCCATATGAAAATCCAGAGTACTTCAAAAACGTCATAGCTCTGGCTTTTGACTACAGCCTGAAGGGAAGGGGCACAAACCGCATATTCTTCAGTGATGCACACTATGGAAATATTCAAGTGATTAAAGACAACTGGGCTGGCAGAAAAGTGCTAATTGAAAGTAAGTAAAAAAAAAAAAAATAAATTTCCCAAAATGTGTATTTTGTTTCAATAAACTTTATTAAGTGAAACACTGATGATCACTTGGCTTTACAGAGTAAAAAATATCAATGAAGTTTTATCATATTTAATTATTGTATTTTATCCCTATAAGATGCATTTAAACATGAATAACTTCAAAATAATTTATTTTATAACAGGTTTATGATGTGTGAAGCATATTGGTTGAAAACAGAAGTGATAATGGCAATACTTAATTTATATGACTGTGATTTTAAGGGGCTTTACTGTTGAAACAAAACCTCGTATGAATTTCTGCTGTTTTATTTTATGTTGCCTGTGGCATTTCTACATTTATCTATTTGTTTGGGTGGGTTTAATAACAAGACCAAAGAAAGCGTGAGGAAAAATGGAAGTACGTTTGGTGTATCATCTTTTACTGTTGCATGTTAATGGGGATACTTCTAGTAAAGAAAAAAACTTAAACAACTGCCAACTCACATAAGTATTATTTTACAACTTATATTGGATAATTGTAGCATTATTACCTCTGCACAGTGGTTCTGGGAAACCATTTGTGCTTATGAAAACTGTTGGCACTAGTGAATGGAAAAGCATTTTAAAAATATTTTGTAACTGAAAGAGTGTAGATTTAGATGAAATGTAAGGAAGAAATTCTTCCCTGTGAGGCTGGTGAGGCCCTGGCACAGATTGCCCAGAGAAGCTGTGGCTGCCCCATCCCTGGAAGTGTTCAAGGTCAAATTGGATGAGGCTTGGAGAAACCTGGTCTAGTGGAAGGTGTCCCTGCCCATGGCAGAGGGTGAAATGAGATGATCTTTAAGGTTTCTTCCAACCCAAATCATTCTGTGATTCTGTGTGATACAAAGCCTTTCTTCTTTTTTTCCTTTGAGTTTTTATGTGAGCATATTTTAGAGCAATCAATGACATTTGTATTAAAATATGGTAAAGATAAACTAAGCAATGTTGTCGGGATGTTCTCATTACTCCCAGGAAAGCATTAAACGTTGGCATTTGGAGTTGACTTTAGCTGTATGAGAGACACAGACAGCTCACAGAAATGTGCAGTGGTGACACACAAGCACTATTTTAACTCTGGTGTTATAGGAAGAAATTAAAAGTATTGCACGAAAAACCACTGGAATTTTCAGCATTTAAAACAAAGAGGAAAAATAAATACTTGTGAAGCACCAATGCAGATAGAAATTGGGTTTTAAAAGAACAATAAAGTGTTCCTCATTACTTTATAATAGGCTGTTCTACAAGAGCAAAAGACATTCCGTAAAGCATAGTTGAGAATTATAGTTTTAAGAAATTGTTAGGGAGTGTTTCTACTTCTAACTTAATATACCCGATTTCATTTTTCATTAGCAGAGTCAGCACTCTGAATAATTGAATGTCAGATGAAATTTTGTATCCTTGCAAAGAAATTTACTGTACATGCTTGGGATGTATATGTAAACTATGGCATTTTGTAGAAAGGCTTCTGTATTATTCTGTAGAAATACTTTGTAAATGAGAAGGGTTATAACATCCCAGTATATGTCAGTTTATTGCTCTTCTTCAAGAGCCCTTTAGTTTATGTTGAGTCATTCATTTTCAGCTGGTATTTTTGTATTGTACAGCTCTCCATTCCACAGTCTGCATGTGATTTTTCTCTCACTGTAAACAGGAGACAGTTCATGGGGCTGCTTGATGTAGTGGAAGTATTTAACCAACCACACCTATAAAGGAAAAAGCAGTGGTAGGATTGGTTGGCACCAGTAATTCCATTCACTGGAAGACAGCAAATTCTAAAATTTTTCTGATTTCTGCATTAAGAATCTGTGATCATGTAGAATTTATTAAATGGAATCCAGCTGAGAGATGTTAATAATAATGTTTCATTTCAGGATTGAAAAAATAACACCTGTTACATTAATTTTGCTATCTTTTTCATCCAGAATTATTAGTACATATCTGTAGCAAGTTTTACTTTATTAGGGAGAGATATAAAACAAAAATGGAAATATCTAGTGTGGTTCTATCAGTTCTACAGCATTGTTCTACCTCATTAAGTTGAAGTCTAAAAATCACGCAAACCTTTATTCAGTATTTGACTTCAGTAGAGAAATTAGGATATGTGACATACTGTTGTCCCAGATTTTTAGTTCACTGAATGTAAATCTGCTTGTAGTGAATCTCTCACCTGATGGATTTCTACCTCTCTGAAATCAGACATGCTGCTCAAATCTAATAGATTAGTGAACTTTCCTGCGCTAAAAACACTTAAGACGTATAGAGCTCTTTGTTAAACAGTTCCAGTTCACTAAAAACAGATTTACAACTCACGAGCAACCCATTATCTAACATGTTTTTAGCTCACTGAGAACAGATTTACTACCCAGAAACAACCCATTATCTAACATGTTTCCAGTTCACTGAAAACAGATTTACAACCCATACGCGAGCCATTATCTAACATAGTTCCGACTCACTGAAAATTGATTTAGAATTCATAAACAACCCATTATCTGACAAATTTTCACCTCACTGAACAGATTTGCAACTCATAAACAACCATTAGCTAACACATTTTCGGCTCATGGAAAGTAGATTTACGGCATATAAACAACTTTATCTAACTTGTTCCAGTTCACTAGAAACAGATTCAAAACTCACCAAGAACCCTGTACCTGATAGGGTTCTGTCTTCAGCAACAAGAAACAATAACAACAACAAAAAAACAGCCCAGCATGTGCATAGTATGCCATGCCACGCCACCTTTGGGTTTTGTACAGCATTAGGTTTTTGGAGGGGATTTTTTTCTTAGCTCTGAACTCTGCTGATGAAAGGAGCAATATTTCATTTGGTCACTCAGCAGGGAATTGTTCTTTCTTGTTTTCCTAAGTAACTTTATCAGGTTAATCTTTCTTATTACCAGTTTTTTAGAATTTTACCTTGTTCTTGCCTGTGATTTTGCACAAATATTCTTTTGGCTGACCTAAGTTGTTTCAGAGCGTATGTTTATACAAAGAAACCTTTTGTTAAAAAGCTAAGTTTCAGTTTCTAAGCTAATAATTCTTTTTTTTTTTTTAATTATTATTTATCATAGGTAGAACCTTGAAGCAATACACGAATTAACCAAAGCCTGCTTCAGTTTATCTGTAGAAAGACAGTGCAATATTAAAATAACTTTAATACAGCAGTGCAACGGTAGAAAGAAGACCAGTGAAGTTAAAACTAAAGAAAAAAGGTGGAGGCAAGGCAAAAAAAAAAAAGCAAATGAGAAACAGGAAAAAGTAATAAGATGAGATGCACTCAATGAGCTGATTTTTCTCCTAACTGTGTAAACAAAGGCACTGAGATATTTTGCCAGTGTAATGTCTCTCGCAGCACAAAAGGAAGTGTTATGTGAGAAAATGCTCCTGTTTTGAACCTGAGGCACTGGTGTCTGTAGAGCACAAAAATCTTTTCACTGCTAACATAAAGTGTCAGATCCTGTGATGTATTGTAAGACTTTTTACAATCTGAATCTTTTAAAGGTGTTGCAATGTGTGCTACTATTCTTCCTAACTAAATGGGTCCAATTTAACTGTCAAAAAGGCATTTATGTTCCCATTTCTCTTACAGAGCATTACTTCTGGTGCATTGTGAGATCCCTTTAGTTTTGGGGCTTTCTTCTCCAGGAGAGGAATTTTTAATCTGTTAAAAATAAATACTTGAATATTGTTGCTTTTCATTTCATAAATGGAGTCATTATAGCTGTATATGGTATATTATATGTATATGTATTTTTATATTCATTATAACTGCATATAGGTCCAGTGATTTTCAGTTTTTAAAGGAGGGGAAGTGAGAGGCTGTTGTTAAGTCTAGGATATTTAAATAGTAAAACATAATATTTATTATTCCAATGTGGAATACAAGTTGTCTAGTTTAACACTATCTTTTGTTTCTGTATGTGGCTGCATATTAGAGAATCACAGAATATTTTGGGTTAGAAGGGACCTTAAAAATCACCTCATTCCAAGCCCCTGCCACGGGGAGGGACACCTTCCACTAGACAATGATTAGTGGGTAAAATCTATGAGTTGTTGCTATAGGTGAATAAAGTAACCTAATTTTATATTAAACATTTGTTATTCTAGAGTGATGTAGTCCTGCACATTTCATGTGTTGTTTAGGTGTCCCTGGTGTGAAACTCTAAATGTATTTATGACAGGAGATGACTTACACTGATCTTTTAGTATGGTGTGTCATGAGCATTCCCAACCTCAGTATTGAGGAAAGGTGGTTTTTACCTATTAAACTTGAGATTATTCATGAGGAATTAATACTATTTGTGGCTGATTCAACTGTAAAAAGTTGCCCTTAGATTTTTTTATTGATGCAAATATCTACTAAATTTTTACCTTAGCAACTCTGATTTAGTTGCCTTAAATGTAAAACTGTTTGGTGAATTTTCAGGAAAAAACTGCACAGAGGAAAATCTCTTGAATTTCATTGTTTTATTCTAAAGAGTAATGTGATCCAGCAATTATTATTAGGTTATTAGGCTATTCTGCCATTAATACCTGAAATATCTCTCTAATGTTTGGGTTTACTTCAACATTAACAATAAAAATGTGTGTTTATACATGCTTATTAGAAGGTTTGTTAGTCTAATAGTATTGATTTAAAGGTGCTAAGGGTGAATAGTAGGTTGGTTCTTTTTAGAGTCCACATGTAATGCATGAAAAGATAATATGGGCTCTTGTAATTAGCAAAACATTTCTTCCATGACAATGGTTGAGATTTTAAAGAATCTAATAAAACACTTCCATCTCCATAGGTTAGGTTTCCGTTCTGGAAGTCCTCCTGCTTTTAAAGACTCTATAGTTACATGGATACTTTAACTATATTGAAGTTATGATATTATAACACTTGTTAACTTGTATTGCCTCAGTAAGTTACAAGGAATAATAAGGTTAAATCCATGGAGATGTTTGTAGTGCCTTGAAC